GCTTAATTTTGTTTTTTTTTTGGAGAGGTTTTTGCTATAGGGCGCATGCGCTCGCCAGACAGAGAGAGACAGAGAGATAGAAAGCGAGAAATCAACCCCCGGGGGGATGGCCACACCGCAATCCCTTCTCCTCCATTCTCCTCTTGGGATCTTGGGCACGCAGGCACACGCACCCAGAGTGAGTTTAAGCCACCAGGTCCAGGATTCGAACCATGGTTGACTATGTGGGAATCCAGAAACACAGCCATTACGCTAACTGCTAGTCCCCGGGTTTAATCTTTTAAACCTTCTCCTGCCTCTCTCAGACTATAGTATGTGTCCCATGGCAATTAAAAACAACAACATAATAATCTATTTAAATCAGTGCCTGATCTGAAAACAGTGGTATTAGCATAAGGTAGAAATATTTATCAGGGTAATACAGTAGAGTGCATATGAAAAGATTCTCATGACCATCAGTCTTTAATGCAAATTAAAGCCACAATAAGTTATTATTACACCATTCACTACAATGGCTAAAATGAAAAGGTCAATACCAGGTATCAATGAAGATACTGAGCAACTAAAATTCTCATGCAAGACTGATGGAAATGCAACAGTAGAGCCACTCTGGAAAACAGTGTAGCAATTTTTCAATTAAAATAACCATATATTAGGTCACAGAGAAAGTTATGAACTATTTTTCTATATTTTCCTATGCAGAAATGTGTCAGGACTTTCCTGATGACCCAATATTTATCACATGATCCAGAAATCCCACTCTTAGATACTTACCGAAGAGAAATAAAAATACATGGTCACACAGCCTTATATTGAATGGTTCTAACAACTTTACTCTTAATAGCTAAAAGCTGGAAACAACCCAAATAGTCATCAACTGATAATGAGGCATATACATTCAATGGATTTGAAATAAAAAGGACTACAAACAGAAAAATTAATGTACCTAAGTGTTAAAAGCATCATGTTGGGACCAGTAGTTGGTGTAATGGCTATGTCGCTGGACTCCCATGTAGTCAACTACGGTTCGTGTCCTGGACCCGGTGGCTTAAACTCACACCGGGCATGTGTGCGTGCGTGCCCAAGATCCCGAGAGGAGAATGGAGAAGGGATTGCAGCATGGCCATCCCCCTTGGGGCATATCTCCCTTTCTATCTCTCTCCGTCTTTCTGGTGAGTGCACACGCCCTATAGCAAAAACCTCTCTGCACGCCCCCCCCCCAAAAAAAAAGAGAAAAAAAGTATCTCATTAAACAATAAGAGGCCAGAACAAAAGACTATTTACAGCATAATTCTAACTGTATAAAATTCTAGAAAAGGTAAAACTATGGAGACAAACTCTGATCAATTATTGCCAGGAGCCATGGTAAGTTAGAATTGACTACACAAGGCATAAGGGAACTTTTTGGGATGACAGAAATATTCTGTATCATGATTGTGGTGGTGGTTTCACAACTGCATATATTTGTCAAAACTAATGGCACTTAACATGGGTGAATTTTAAAACTTTAGTGTAAAAAGCCATTTTTCATGATTCTGTAAGAATACCTTGAAAAGGAACATAGTCTTGATTTTCTAGAATAAATTCTATCTAAATTACTTAATATCTTACCGGGCCCATGGATCTCTTAGTCCTTGTGCAGCCAGCTTCTCCTGGACAGTTTCTAATGGTGTTCCTTCTATCTTCCACTGCTTATAATCTGGAAGTTCCATTTTACCATGACCATGACCATGACCATGTTCATGTCCATGGGCCATGACTACAGAAAAAGATTAACATAAAGTGAGGAATGTGCAGATTGTTGATACCAAACACTCAAGTTTTCTAATTATTTTTAAAAATTACTTTAATTAATTTCATTCATTGTCTTTATTTATTTTTGAAGTTGACCAGAGAGACAGAAGTGAGAAAACAAGTTGCCAGGTCCAGGACTCAAACTGCAGTCAGCCATGTGGGAGTCCAGCTGCCTTAACCACCATGCCACCTGCTACCCCCCAATCATGTTTTAAGATACTTGAAAATTTCATGGGGTTAAGGTGCTGGACTCCCAAATGGCTGATATGGTTTGAGTCCCGGAACTGGTGGCTTAGAAATCACAATGAATGAATAGGTAAATAAAATAAATAAATAAATGTTAAAAAAAGAAGAGAGAGAGAGAGAGAGAGAGAGAGAGAGAAAAGAAAATTTCAGGGATCCAGTTTGTGGTTTAGTGGTTAAGGTGTTTGAATTTTTTTTTTTTCTTGTTGGTTTTTTTTTTTTTTTTTTTTTTTGCTATAGAGCACGTGAGCTCAGAGAGAGAGAGAGATAGAAAGCGAGAAATCACCCCCCAGGGGGGATGGCCACACGGCAATCCCTTCTCCTCCATTCTCCTCTCGGGATCTTGGGCACACACGCACACGCGCCTGTCCCGGGTCCGGGATGCGAACCGCGGTCGACTACATGGGAGTCCAGTGACATAGCCATTACGCTAACTGATGGTCCCAAGGTGGCTGAATTTTGTTTTTTTTTCTGACATAGTATAAAAAATGTGTAATAGGGGGACCAGCAGTTAGCGTAATGGCTGTGTTGCTGGACTCCCATGTAGCCAACCATGGTTCGAGTCCTGGACCTGGTGGTTTAAACTCACGCCGGGTGTGTGTGCGTGCGTGCCCAAGATCCCGAGAAGAGAATGGAGAAGAAGGGAATGCGGTGTGGTCATCCCCCCTGGGGGGTGATTTCTCACTTTCTATCTCTCTGTCTCTGTCTTTCTGGCGAGTGCATGCACCCTATAGCAAAAATCTCTTCTCTCAAGAAAAAAGGAAGAAAAAAATATAAGAAGCACAGATGGGGACTATTGCACATATAAAAAGGAGAACCTCTGTCACTGAGAGCTGCCAGCTGCCTGGTGCACCTGGCAATACATGGGGGCACTGTGTGGTCATGGTCCAGCAGAACTACCACTCTCTGGAGTGGCTCCCACATAGCTGACTGAGCAATATGAGTCCTGGGACTTGAATAACATACTGGGTGCATGTGTAGGCATGCCCCAAATCCCAAGAGGATAATGGAGATGGGATTGTGGTATGGCCACCCCCCTGAGAATACATCTCCCTATCCCTGACCCCGGTACTTCTCTGATAAGCACATATAGGCCCTATAGCAGATCTTAAAAAAGAAAATTCCAGTTAAGACATTTTATAAAACTGGGGTCAGCAGGTTGGTGTGGTGGTTAAGGCACTGGATTTCCAGTTGGCTGACCACAATTCACATCCCAGACCCCACAGCATAAAAAACACAATGGGCATGCATGCCCAAAATCTTGAGAGGAGAATGGAAGAGAAAGGACTGCAGTATGTTTATTCCCCCAGAGAGTGATCTCTCTCTCTCTCTCTGGCAAGCACATGTACCCTATGGCAAATAAAAAGAAAAGAAATTTTATAGAACTTGGTTGGCCCCATAGCCTAATGGTTAAGGAAACCAGATCCCACATAGCTGATCATGATTCAAATCTTGGCCCCAATAGCCTGAAAAACATGACGGTGTCTGGCTATGCATGCTCCAAATCCTGATAGGTTGGAGGAAAAAAGGAATCGTGGTATGACCACATTCCATTTAGGGGGTGTTTTTCTCCCTCTCCTTCTAGAGACTGCATGAGCTCTCTGGTAATTAAAAAAAAAAAAAAAGTTACTTAGGAAATTTTATGAAACAGTGTCTTGTAATATAGTTAATATATATTCACAGTTAAGAAATACATATATCATACAAAATACCACACACGCAAAAAAGCTGGTTATCTCACTACCCAGGGACAACCACTTACTATAGTATTTGGTCCTTTCTTTATTATAACAACAGTATGCATTTATTGAGCCCTATATGCCAGCCATATTATGCTAAAGTGCTATATATGAATTAACTCCAATACAGAACTAAAGTTATGATTATACCCACATGAATACTAAAGATACATGAAATGCTCATTAAATAGTTTCAAGATATGAGAAAAACACTATGTTGATAATTTTCACATTTAAAAGAAAATGAAAACCAATACCCACCAAATCCAAGTTAAAATGATGACACTCACAACTCTGAATGAAACATTTAACCCATTATTCATTATTGCTTGGTAAACTCAATATGAAGGATAAAATAGATTTTGGATTTCAGACTGACTTTGATTCAATACATAATTACATTATGTAAAGACCATTAGAAGCATGTATTTAGAGTAATAATGTCTTGTATTTAGAGTGATAGCATGTTTTCAAAAAAGACATTTTAAAAAATGTTTCATTCCAAAAATTCTTTATAGATGAACTCTAAAATATCAACTCAAATATAAGTATCAATGTATTTAGAAGAGAGCCCAAAACCAAAGGTCAAAAATTTTGATGAAATATTGGGTTTTCAGAAAAGATGCATTTTTGCATAGGAAAACATAGAAAAAAAAGTCATGACTTTTCTGACAATCCAATAGTTTGTTTTTGAAAATAAGTTGAACTATGAAGGTATTCTGAAGTTACAATATTACTATGATCAAAATGTTAAATGGAATATAAATCTCTGAAAAAAATGAAAGTATACAGACCCTTACTTCTCGTTCATAAACTTTTTAAAAATTAAATGATTTTTTTCCTTCTACCTAATTAAAATACTTCAGTATTTATAGTTTACTGAATATAATATTTAAATGACTTTCCAAAAAGCAAAGTTGAACACTACATATTTCTAGAGAAATTTTAATTTTTTAAAAAGATTTAGTTCAATTTCAGAATAGCCATAAATCAATGATATCCTGATCACTTGAAGGAAAAAGTTTGAAATTCTCTAACTTTGCACCATTAGTAGCTATAAAATAAAATCCTAGGCAAATCACTTAATCTCTCTAGACTTCAATTTCTTCATATATGAGTGTAAAACCTATCTTGCAAAATTGTGAGAATTGGGGGAAACACATTGTGATGTGCCTTCCAATTTCACAACCAGGTGAGAATGACTTAGCACAACCATTCTAAAAAACTGGCATGACCTAGAAAAGCTGAACATTTGCATATCTTATAGCCAGCACGTCTACTCCTAGGTATATATATTCTAGATCTCTACTGTTAATAAATAAGAGTAGCCTCTAGCATTGGAAATATGGCTAGTACAACTGAGAAAATGGTAATTTTAATTAATCTAAATTTTAAAACAGATTCTCAAATTAGTTATAGAAAATATTAAAGAGTTTGGAACAATATGTGTATATAAATTTATTTAACTAACTATAAATTTTATAAAGTATATAGATCAAATATTTATTTTTAGGAAAATAACATATAAGATGAGATATTCTGTAAGGCCAAAATACATCTATTTTGAAGACATTATAAAAATGTAGGGGACCAGCAGACGGGGTAATGGTTATGTCGCTGGACTCCCACATAGTTAACCATGGTTTGAGTCCCAGGCCCGGCGACTTAAAAATCCCACTGGGAATGTGTGCGTATGTGTCCAAGATCTCAAGAGGAGAATGGAGAAGGGACTGCGGAGTGGCCATCCTCCCTGGGGGTGATTTTTTACTTTCTGTCTGTCTGGCAAGCACACACGTCCTACAGCAAAAAGAAAAAAAACGCTCTTCAAAAAAAAAAAAAAGTATTTCATTAATAATTTTTAATACTGGGCCAGCCTCAATGTACAGTGATTAAATGTAGTGTGTAGGGAGCAGGATCCCACATAGCCAGATGGGGTTCAAATCTGGGTCCTGGCAACTTGAAAAACAAGCTGGGTATGTTCACATGCATGTGCAAAATCCTGGCATAATAAAAAATGGAGAGAAAAGAATTGCAGCATAACCATGCCCCATTAAGGGGGCGATTGCTTCCTTTTTCTTTTCTTTGTCAAGCACATGCACTCTTAGGCAATCAAAGGGGAAAACAACCTTAATATTTATTACATCTTGAAATTACATTTTTAATCTAGGTACATATATCATTAGTTTTATCTTTCTGCCAGAGGGCACGTGTACGGGGTGGACCACCCCCAAATGAGAGGGTTCACATCACAACCCCCTTTCCTCCAATCTTACATCTCATCAGGATCCTAGGTATTCACGCATGCTCCTGAGCTGGGACTTGAATCATGGTTAGTCATACAGAATGCAGCTTCTTTTGTGTAGGGCTGGCACCTTCTCTTAATTTTTTTTCAGATTTCTGTCATAGGGTGTCTGCAGTTGCCCAAGAGACACACAGTGAGAGAACAAAAGTGAAAAATCACTCCCTACCCCCACTCCAGGGCAGATGGCCACACTGTAATTCTTTCTCCTCCATTATTTTCTTCAGATTTTGTGCACACATACACAGGCAGTAAGTGTTTTACGCAGTCCAGTCAGGAACTTACAATTGCAGAGCTGGCCATGTGGGATCCAGCAACTTAACGACCATGCCACTGCCGGTCCCTCTTTATATTTTTTTGATGTGTCTATTAAAAAAATTTAAAATTATGGAACCAGCAGTTAGCATAATGGCTATGTCACTGGACTCCCATGTAGTCGACCGCAGTTCGGGTCCCAGACCTGGTGGTTTAAACTCACACTGGGCGCATGTGCGTGCATGCCCAAGATCCTGAGAGAAAAATGGAGGAGTAGGGATTGTGGCATGGCCATCCCCCCTGGGAGGTGATTTCTTGCTTTCTGCCTCTCTGTCTCTGTCTTTCTGGCAAGTGCATGTGCCCTATAGCAAAAACCTCTCCAAAAAAAATTTTTTTTTAAATTATGGATCAGCTAGTGTGGTATTGTGGTTAGGGTGCTAGATTCCACATGGCCAAATGTGGTTCAAGTCCTGGATCTGGCAGCTGGAAAGTCACTCTGGGCATATATGAAACATATCTCTTATAATATGCATGGAAGAGTATTTTTTAAAAAAATGTGCCAGTGGGCACATATGCTTACAAGAGAAAGAAGAGAGGAGGAGAGGGACAAAGCACCTCTCATTGAGGCATGATCATGCCAAAATCCCTTTTTCTCTATTTCTCCTTCTTTTTGGGATTGGGGCATAAATGTATACATACGTAGAGTGTCTCTCAAGCTATTGGGCCGGGACTGGCTGGGATTCTAGCAGTGCAGTAGACTATGTGTAGTCAGGCTTCCTTAAACATAGGCTACAGAGCCAACCCTATACAAATCTTTATAGCTATAACGCAAATGCAAGCTTCAAAGTGTAAATAATTCAAAAATCAAACAATATAGGGGATCACAAATGTATACATACGTAGAGTGTCTCTCAAGCTATTGGGCCGGGACTGGCTGGGATTCTAGCAGTGCAGTAGACTATGTGTAGTCAGGCTTCCTTAAACATAGGCTACAGAGCCAACCCTATACAAATCTTTATAGCTATAACGCAAATGCAAGCTTCAAAGTGTAAATAATTCAAAAATCAAACAATATAGGGGATCACGGTTAGGAACCAGCAGTTAGCGTAATGGCTATGTTGCTGGACTCCCACATAGTCGACCGCGGTTTGCGTCCCAGATCCGGTGGCTTAGAACTCACGCCGGGTGCATGTGCGTGTGTGCCCAAGATCCTGAGAATGGAGAAGGGATTGCTGTGTGACCATCCCTCCTGGGGGGTGATTTCTCACTTTCTGTCTCTCTGTCTCTCTCTGTCTGTCTGGCGAGAGCACACGCCCTATAGCGAAAACCTCTCAAAAAAAAAAAAGGGATCATGGTAAAGTCAAACTCTGGAATATTATATAGAAAAATACAAAACAAACAAACAAAAAAACCCCAAAAAATACAACAACAAAAAACCACTACATGCAGAAGTATAAATAAAGCCAGCCAGGTGTGTGGCAGTTAAGATGGTTGGATCCCACATTGACTGCCTGGTTCAGGTCCCGGACCTGGTGGCTTGAAAAACATGCTAGGCATGTGTGCATGTGTGCCCAAGGTTCCAAGAGGAAAACAAAGAAGGGGTTGCAGTGTGGCTATTCAGGGTGTGTGTGTGCGTGTGTGTGTGTGATTTCTCACTCTTGGAAAGTGTGTGTGTGCGTGTGTGTGTGATTTCTCACTCTTGGAAAATAGAGACAACTGTCTCTCTCTGGCGAGTACATGTGCCCTACAGCAGAAAATTAAAACAAAAACAAAAAAAGTATAAATGAACCTCAAACACAACAATGAGCAAGGGTGAATAAAAATAATAATTAAAAAAGGCTCATTGATTCCATTTATATACACTGAAAACCAAATAATTCATTTCTTAGAAAATCAAAAGTAAAACAAGTAAATGTTTATCTCAAGTCAGGATAGTGGTTATCTCTTAGCAGAAAATGGAACCACACAAGCTCATATACACAAGACAGTGTTTTGTAACCAATTATTTTTGTGTGTGTGGGAGGAGGGAGGCATGCACACACATGCTCTCCAGGTCATTTGCAAGCCACCAGGTCTGGAACTTGAACCACTGTCAGTCATGTGGGAGTCCAGGGCCTTAACCACCAGGAGGTGTCACTTTTAATTATTATCTCTTTAAGGAACCTTTTTAAGAGTTTTTTCCCCCAATCAACATCCCCAATAAAACTTTAACATAACAGGTATACTGTATATCTGTTTATGTACTGCAGTCCTTTGGAGAGACACAAATCATTATAATAATTAAGATTCTCCAACCCCCCCAATAAAAAAAATTCATTCCTTTGAAGGACAATCATCCTTTATAATGATGACAATGCATATTTGACAAGAAAAAACAAAAGTTAGATTGTGTAGATGACACAGCAATGCTGATTATTTCTGCATTATAGCTGCTCAAGTAAAACAGTAAAGAACAATAAAGAACATACAGTTAAGAAAAAATTTAAAGCTATCTATGTTTGAAGTGAACTTGTAAGTTTGGCGGCAATCAACCACACGTTAAAGAGGCTGGTTCTAGTACAGGAAAGGTGCTGGTATACTTTCCTCAGGAAGGAAATAAAATTATGCCACTTCTGCTAAAAGCAATTTTAGGGTTAGACACTTTCAAATATATATCCCAACTTATTTTCTTTCTAAAACTGCTAATACTATAAGAACATTAGAAAATAAACTGAATCACTTTTAGTGTCCCTTTCAAAGTGTTCCTATGTATAGGCAATTTAAAACTATTTTGCGAAACCAGCAGTTGGCATAATGGCTATGTCACTGGACTCCCACGTAGTGACCTCAGTTTGAGTCCTGGACCTGGTGGCTTAAAACTCACGCCGGGCGCGTGTGCGTGCGTGCCCAAGATCCTGAGAGGAGAATGAAGGAGAAGGGATTGCGGAGTGGCCATCCCCCCTGGGTGTGATTTCTCGCTTTCTATCTGCCTCTCTCTGGCGTGCGCACGCGCCCTATGGCAAAAACCTCCCTTCCCCCCCAAAAAAAAAAAAAACTATTTTGCATTCTAAAAATGGGTGTTTTTGTATCCTGCTTTTTAAACTTTAACACTGATTCATAAACATTTGTGCCAGAAAAATCTTACGTAAAATATACAAGCTTACGTTATTTTTATTTTATGCATTTTCGGTTTTGGGAGCTGTTCTGCCTTTGATGCAGAGGGAACCAAGAAAACAAGGGGCAGAGGCTGTTACGTGTGGTACAGGAAAGAAAACAAATACAAACACCTGAACTTAAATACCACGGTAGTTCTCACTGCAACTTTCTCCCACCACCCTTTCCTATCCCACCTCTAAAACAGGACTTCGTTTTCTCCCGCTAGCTCTTCGCTCTCCGTCCCTTTTGAGCTGGCCCCTCTCATCATCCTTTTCCATTCAGTCTCTCCCTTTCTGCATTCCCCCGAGATAGTCTAGCTCTTAAAGTTAACCAAAAGAACTCCCACCAAGTCCCTAATTTACCTGACGGCAATCTGACCTCTCAGGACACTACGGCCAGAGCCAACCGGAAGCGGACGTTGTTACCTTAAGTATCTTAAACGTGGTGACTTTAGGTCTCTTACGGCGGGAAAGCCGAGAAGCCGTTTAGTGTTCCGGTACTGGGTCATAGATCCCTAGACCAGATGGAGATGACCCGGGGGAGGTTGGAGGTCGACATCCTTTCCTACACGTGTGCATTTGCACCCTGACGGAGGTAAAAGACATCGTCGAGGAGAGAAGACAGAGAAGAATAGATGTTTTCCTTGCATGGAGATCGGAATCCTAAGACGTTGCACCGAGGGGGGCGGGCCGCGGCTGTGTTTCAGCCAATGGCTGAGGCTGTTGTTGAGAGCGTGGATTTACCCAATGAGAGGGTCGCTTGTTACGCCGCAGTTGGCAGGCTGCTGCGGGAGGCGGTGGCGGTAGGAAGCCGGAGACAGCGGGGTGACAGGTAGGCGGCGGTACTGTCTTAGGGGGACGCAAAGTGCTAGATGAGGAGGATTTTTCTTCTTCTCCGGCTGCGGAAACTAGAGAGGAGAGCTGACGGGGGCTTCGTGGGAAGGCTGTAGCCAGAGAGCTGACGGCTCCGGAGCCACTCGTAAACCAGGTAGCTGCTCGGGAGGGTCGTGAGGAGAAGGCAGCTGAGGAGGGTGGAGGCTGAGCCCCTGTGGGATGACATAGGGGCCAACGCTGGGCGTAGGGGGCTGCAGTGTTACCGACGAAGAGGGAGCAGAGAGGCGGGAGTAAGACAGTGTAGAGCGTGCTGAAGAATTCCTTGCACGAAGCCCCAGGCGAGAAAAGGACGCGGCATTGCAGACACCTGAGAGACATCCTGGAAATTGCTTCTTAGGGCCATTCCTGGAGTGGGGAGGGGGAGCGGAGAAGAAAGACATTTTACTGGTTGGCAGACCTAAAAACTCTTTAGAGTGGTACATTATGTAATCCTTGGCTCTTATTTACCCAAACAACTAGGCTGTCCCCCTTGGAAGACTGATAATGTCAGATCACTTTTTTCTTTGGCTTGAGTATTTTCTACCAGGCAGGCTCCGTAGGCGAAGGGCGAAAGCACGAGGAATAGTCACGAAGAGCTTATCCCAAATATGGACTTGGGTTGAGAGATACGATGCTAGTTTGGAATGAAGGTGGCCAGATTAATGTTTTGTAGTTTACAGATTTGATTTGAGGGTCAAGGATGATAACAGTTTGTTTTTTTTTTAAATCTTCAAAAAGGTGGAGAGAAACTTAAAGATATATAGTAGGAGGTAAGTGCAAGTTGGAAAATAAGTATTTAGAAAATTCGTTGGTAGATTCCTCCCCTATCTCTTGCCCGGCTATTGTGGATGTTAGGAACTGTGAAAATAACTTAATGGTCTGAATTGGGTTAAAAAAAAGGTCGACTTTGAAAGAGTTTACCTTTTAAGTCTGAGAAACTAGTTATAAGTTATTTCTTAGGTTTAAAAATAGTGCTTTTTGAGCCTCTAAGGTTGAGGTAAAATATGTTTACAGATAAAATTAGCTGTAAATTATCTTGTTTTTATAAAACTTTTATTATAATTCATTGTTGCACAATATATTGTAGAATTAAAATAGGAATTCCAATTATAATAGTATGTGTTATGGAAGGACAGACTACATTAAAACTTGGTTTTATAGCCCTTTGAAAACCATTGTAAAAGGAGGAGTTACATTTTTTAAAATATAAGCTGTTTAAAAGTTCCTTTTAACTTAGGAGAAAAGGACTGGTGTAGTAGTAGCAAGTATGTCATTTTCCTGAACTTATTTTAGTACTGAATGTCAGGAAAACTTTCCAAGATGTGATTTTTTATTCTATTAATGATAATTTATACTAGTGTATATGAAGCTAAATCAGAATTTGATTTTTTTCTTGAAATACCATTTGGGAAAGTGGTAATAATTAACATTTGTTCTGAAATGTTCAGAGTACTGAGATGTTTACTAATGCTTTAGATAAAAATTTTAATAGATACTTGATTTTTTTTTTTTTTTTGTATTTTATCCTCTTACAAGAATAATGCTATCTCAGCCAAAAGAAAACTTCTGATCCTATTTTAGGTGTAATTTTGTAGTGTTCTGAGTACCCATGAGCAAATCTCTGCCTTTATGCAGTGTGGTGGTGGTAGTGGTGGAGGTGGTTTGTGTGTATGTGTGTGTGTTTCTTTCTTATTATGTAACCGGCCTACTGGAGCTCCTAGAGAACTAATGGTTGATTTTGAATGGCCAGTAGGTGTCATTGTAGAATACAATAAATTGAACATTGAATCTGGAAATACCAAATAGGTAAGAAGCTTTAGTTTGAATTGGTATATAATAGTAATTGAATGATTATTTATATAGCATAAGAATTCTTCTAAAATAATTTAGTGTTAGAGCTGTTTATAAGGAATTGGAAACAATGGCTGTAATTGTTCTGAAATGGACCTTAGAAGTTTGTTTCTTAATCCATTCCTTAAGCTGTCTTGACAGGGAACATGGATTTGAATTAGTATCATTGTTTTTAATACACAGTTTTGGCTTTTCATGGTAGTTTGTTAAGTTCTGGAATTATAAGGTTTCAGCTTCTCTGAGCTTTGTCATAGGAAAAAAACAGAGCAACGTAGTAAAAAATTAAAATGATAAAATATGGAAAGAAATGTCCAAACAAGTTATATTCTGCACAGAATAGTGCTTTCTTACTTTTTTTAATGCCAGAACAGAGAAATTTTTGTCTTTCATTGTCTGTGGCCTCTTAGTGTTTGTTTTGTTTTGTTTTTGATATTTTATATTTGCTTCTTTTTACACTTTTATCAGGCCTGTGGTTTTCTCAGGATGATGAACTGAACATTTGTCATGTCTAAAATGTAATGTAGTGGGGGACCAGCAGATGGCATAATGGCTATGTCGCTAGACTTCCTTGTAGTTGACTGTGGTTCAAGTCCTGGACCCGGTGGCTTAAACTCACTCTGGGCGCGACTGCATGCTTGCCCAAGATCCCAAGAGGAGAATGGAGGAGAAGGGATTGTGGTGTAGCCAGTCTCCTGAGGAGTGATTGCTCACTTTCTGTCTCTCGGTCTCTCTCTTTCTGGTGAGCACATGCGCCCTATAGCAAAAACCTCTCCCCCCCCCAAAAAAAATGTAGTGGTTCTGGAGGAAACTGGCGTAGAAAGCTTTGGAGGTGGTTTACATATGCTGTGAGTACAGTATAGCTCTTTACCTGGATAGCCTTGGATAGCCTTCTGCTGAGTTCTTGTTACTTTGTAGCTCTGCTCCTAATGCCTACTTTTGACACAACATAAAAAAAAAGTATTGGCCCTAATTTAAGAATTCTCCATGAAGATGAATGTAGATAGATATCTTAGGAGTTAAAAAAATAACCTAGGAGTTTAAAAAAAGGCACACTTATTTCTATTACATTTCTTCCATTTCCCTTCAGAATCTTAGTGATGTAGAGTAGGGGGATAAGAAGAAGGTAGATATGTTGTTTGGGGGAAAACGTCTGTTGATGATTCACTAGATGGTTCACCACTAACTTCCACTGTACAATCATTGATCTAATTCATATCTCTGGCACTTATGGTATAAATCCATAACAGTTTTAGCTTGAAAAAAAGAGCTGCCAAATCTACCAGTATTTTTTTATAGCTCGATAAATTTTCACCATTTAATGTCATAGCTAGGAAAGCTTTTCTAGCTAGGAGCTGAAGTTGCCAGAAATATAAATTGTGCTCAATGTTTTGGTTTGACTTAGTTTTTACTTGGCATGTACTTGCATTCTATAAACTAAGCTAATTTTTTTCACAATTTAGACCTATGCTAATTTGCACAGATATTTACTCATATCCTGTTCTCTTTAATAAAAGCTATCTAGGTGGAGCCAAGGGATGGCATGGTGGTTAAGGTACTGAGTTCCCACATGGCTGACCACGATTCAAGTCCAGACCTGATGGCTTGAAAATCACAACAAACAAATAAATAAATGTTTAGAAATAAATAAATAAAAGTTATCTAGTATTAGAAGTAAACTGAAATTGGAAAGTAAGAATGGAAGTTCTCCTAATTAAAGGTCCTTTTTTGGTAATGCCATGTTATGATGAATGTATACATTAGTTATTGCATGAACATTCATTCACTCAATAATATATACTAAAACTTTGAATGTGTTGACCTTGATAGGGATCCAGATCAGAAATTCACATTTATCTTTATGAATACCAGACTTCCTGTTTGGACATCTGGCTCCCATAGAGACATGTGTGATAAAAAATAAATGAGTATATTTTAATTCAGGGGAATAAAAACTCAATTATATAATATATTAAGAGGTATGAATTTTATTATTGATAGAATTATAATTTACAGATTTGAAATGTAACTTTGTCAACACAGCAGTCATAAAATATGGTAAGTTGCAAAAGCATAGGTTATAGAATAGTTATTTTGTGTTATTATAGCAAACTTAACTCTAAAAAATGTTGTAATCACATATATCTATCACTTTCATTATTATAGATATTTTGTTATAGATATTTGACTTGTGTTTTTTTTTTTTAATCATGAATGAGAGAGACATACAGATAGGCAGATACTTTTAACAGAGTCTTGCCATGTAGCAGTTCTTCCCCTAGCCTTCCAGTCAGCCAGGATCATGGGTATACCTGTGGGTGTACCTGGCATGTTCAGAACAACCTGGGATATGAACCCAGGCCTCCCATGTGCTTACGGCATCTTACGGCATCATGAAACAACACCCTATATTGCCTGTTCCACTGTAGCTGGACAGATACTTGACTTTTTTTTTCTTTCTTTTTTAAAAAAATAATTATTTAATTATTTTTAAATTATTTAATTTTATTTATTACTATTTTTTAATTTGCTATAAGGCATATGAACTCACTAGAAAGGGACAGAGAAAGAGGGAGAGTGAGAAAGTAAGCCTCCAGTTCTGAGATTTGAACCAAGCCTCCAGGTCTGAGATTTGAACCACAGTTGGCCATGTGGGAACCTAGCACTTTAACCACCACCATGCCACCTGCTGGCTTGGATACTTGACTGTGGTGCTTGATTCTTTTTTTTTTAAAGAGAGATTTTGGTATAGGGTGCATGCATTTGCCAGAGAGATAGAAAGCAAGAAATCACCTCCCCAGGGGGAATGGCCATGCCACAATCCCTTCTTCTCCGTTCTCCTCTTGGGATTTTGGGTATGCACACACACGAG